GGTTTAATACATCTGCCAAATCATAACCTGATGTGACAATTTGGGGGTTCCTCTGTTCTAGAGCACTTACTTTTATTTTTACAATATGTAAACTAATGTAGCCTTAATTATGCTGATTTCTGAAGGACAGCAGCAAAGTGTTCCAACTCTCCTATACATTATTGTATGCCACACAGTCAACTCAGTGACTCTTTTTTAATGTTGTTTTTGCAGACACCTAAGGCAGCCTGGTCTTAACCCACCGAAGCCAATGGAAAGACTCCCATTGTCTTCAATAGGCTTTGGATCAGGCCTTTAATCCTGTGTTTGTACTAGTGCCTATTCACATTTTTATTTACTTCTTTTTCTGATTGCTCAGGCAGTTAGTTTGAAAAATGGCTTCTGCGGAAGTGCAGTAATTCACCTTTCATAGGTTTTTATTCCAGCTGTGCATTCCATTTTTGCCATAGTTTGAATGCTGTACAAATCTTGACATTGCATGGAATTTGCGTACTTAGATTTACCTCACTAGGGATCTTTCGGAATTGTCAAGTGGATTGAACCCTTCTCGCCAGATACACACAAGCTGCAGTGGGAGTCCAGATGTGAGTCAGGCCTGAAGGGTTTAGTGCATGGCGTCACTACTTATTAGAGTGTTGCATGGTAATAAATGAAGATATTCCACATGCCACCATGCACTCTATTCTTGCTGCTGAGAATCCCAGCAAATGAAGCCAAGTGCACTAGTTGTGATTTGTTATATGTCGAAATCGTGCTTAGCTCTGTTCAAGACACAGAAGAATTATTTCCTTGCCCCAAGGAAATTACAATCTTATGGCCTACTTCTGAAAATCCAGGTTCATGTGAGCAGCCCTATTGAAGGAACTACTTGCATAAGTAAAGACTATTAACGCAGGTGAGGATTTTCAGGATGTGGCCCTAAATATGTAATAATCTGTAGAATATTGTGTAATGGCCTGGCAAAAATGTGACGCTATAACTGCAACAAAAAAAAATTAGTTAAAATAAAATTAAGCATCTGCCTAGGTAAGGCACAACCTCGGTGATTATAGTTGTGTTCTGTGACTCAGCCCAGAGAGCCAGGCAGTGTTTAGGCTCCTGCTTTAACTCTGAATTTCCTTGTCTTTAATGGTTTGACAGTCCCTGAACCTTACGTAAACAGTCTGCAGCATCTGGTGGATGCTGTCTGACGTTCACTCCCCGCCAGAGTTGGACTGATAAAGTGTGTCTGCAAAGTAGGGAGGATATATTGGTATTAATCCAACCAACAGAAACGGTGGGCTGCCTGTGGAGAACAGAAAGTATGCAGTAGTTCTGCTGACAGGGCACTGGTCAGGAGATCTGGACTCTGTTTTTGGCTCTCCCACTGACCTGCTGTGGTGAACCTGGGTAAGTCACATCACCCCTCTGTGCCACTGTTTCCTCTCCCATCTATTGTCTGTCTTGACTATTTAAATTTAAGCTATTTGGGTCAGGGTCTGTCCCTCACTATGTGTTTGTACACCACCTAGCACAATGGGGCCCTGATCTCAATTGGGACCACTAGGTGTTACAGGAATACAAATAATACTTCTGCTGCTTAAAATTGCCGCTAGGCTGAATGACCCTGAAAATTGGCCTCTGGGTGAAATTCTGACGGGTGGGAGGTGATTTAGGGAATATTATGTATTATTTCTGTAACAGTAACATCTCGAGGCTCTGATCAGGATTGAATTAGGTGCTGCACAAACACAGAGGAAGACATGGTCCCTGCCCTGAAGAGCTAACAGTCTAAAGGAAGAGTGGAACACTACACCAGTCTGCTCGCAATAATTGGTGTGTGTCTCAATTTGAATTGATGTAAATTTTGAGGTTTTTTAAAACAATTTTGCCTTCCTCATGTTGTAACGACTTCAGAGTTTTTCTTTCTAGTATTGCTAGTGTTCTCTTTTCAGACTTGTCTTCAGATTAACTGCATAACCCTCCTTCCAATACATTGTGTGACAAAGTTCCTCCTCTGCCTTGGTGGGTCCTGCACTTTTTGGCAGAATTGCTCACCTCAGAGGTTCACGGCAGCCCTCAGTTTGGCCACATCTGCTAGTGGTTCAAACCTGCCATTCACTCAGCTAATCTCATCACTGGCCCGCATGGGGGAAATGGAGAACAATCCCACAGTCTCTGTGTTCCACCTAGTGGGTAGTGGACAGGCCAGGTCCCTTTCCAAATTAGACCTTCCCTTTTGGTGTTGTTCACAGACCAGCTCAACTCCTCCTGTGTCCGATCAGGAGTTGGAGGGATAGGGCAACCCAGGCCTGCCCTCTACACCGGGTTCCAGCCCAGGGCCCTGTGGATAGCAGCTGTCTGTGTGTCCTGTATCAGCTGCATGACAGCTACAACTCCCTGGGCTACTTCCCCATGGCCTCCCCCCAGCACCTTCTTTATCCTCACCACAGGATCTTCCTCCTGAAGCCTGATCACGCTTGTACTCCTCAGTCCTCCAGCAGCACACCCTCTCACTCCCTGCTCGCCCTCCACTAACTGATAGGAGGTCCTTTTTTAAACCAGGTGTCCTGATTAGTCTGCCTGCCATAATTGATTCTAGTATGTTCTTAATTGGCTCCAGGTGTCTTAATTAGTTCTAGCAGGTTCCTGATTGCTCTAGTGCAGCCACTGCTCTGGTCACTCAGGGAACAGAAAACTATTCATCCAGTGGCTGGTATATTTGCCTTCTACCAGATTCCTGTCCCCCACTGCTTTGGGTCTGTCACAATTGGTTACTCATGAGACGTTTCTGACAAAGGCTAGGCCCCATTTTAGTGCCTGTGGAAATGATCTTTTCACCACAAAAAAGCAAAGCTCTGCACTTGCTGTCTTGAAAACATCCCTTGGCTCTTGTTTGATTTTCACCCATGAACATCAAAATGCTTGCTGCTCTAACGTCACATCCTTGCAATGTTTGTTTTTAAAGCTTAGTGCACTAGTGTTAGTGGGGCGTAATAGCATCTAAAGCCTTGTATCAGCTCTGCTTTTACTGCTTAAAACAGGGAGAAAAAATAGAAGGGGGGCATCTACTGAAATAATTTTGGTCGCATCATATCGGAACTGTGCATTTAATTGCTATTTATTTAATAGTGCCCAGAGGTCTTGATCCAGGATCGGGGTTATGTTGACCAGTTCAACCACAGTGGTAGATGTGGTCTTTGTCCAAAAGAGTTTATATAGCATGTAAGATTAATACCTAATTTCTGAAAGACACTTTTTCAGAAGGCCGACCTATTAAACCCCCCAAATTGTGGTTTATAATGAAAATGTCAACTCATCTAGACTATAACATGGCAGTCAGTACCGAGCAGCATACTATTACGTGGTGTCCTACTGCGTAGTCTCAGCAGTCTAGTGATCAATCAGATGTAAGCCAACAGGTCAGACATAATGGAGTGGTCGTTTTTAGGCTATTAAGGAGAAGAAAAAGTAAAGTGTATAAGGTAAAGGAGAAATGAATGAATAAAATCCCAAAAGAAAAGAAAACCCTAGTATTTTAAACTATAAGGTAACCCAAGAATAATAAGCCTGGAGAATCCCCGTAAACCTGAAAGGTGAGGCAAAGCCTAGTAAAGAATATTTTTGCTGTTTGGTCCTTACGATGTGGCCTGGGTGTTTGGAGTGAAATTCTCCCCTCTGCCAGAGGACCTGCACAAGACGTATGCATTAAGCATTCAAGATAAAGTTTCAGTGGAATTTAAGAGCTACATGGAGGTAAATTTCAGTCCCCAGTGATAGGCCATGAAAACAAATTACAGCCCTCACCACTGACTGGTGCAAAGCACTTGCTGAATTCTTCTGAAACACGATTTTTTAAGCGGTTGAAGGGGTTTAAGTAATACCCTCTGACATCTCCTCTATATGACGTTGGACTGTAAATACAAGTCTTGTCTCTCTTCCTTCTTTTACGGCAAAGAGTTTCTCAGACTGGGGCTTGAGAATTTGCATATAAGTCTGATTTCATGATTATTTGTTTAAAATTTTTCTTCCTGGGAATGTTTGTGTTATTTCAATATGTCTTTATGGCTGGCATTGGAGCTTAATGTCAACTCTTTAATAAGAGTCTGTATGTCATAGAGTTACATGCACCTAATAAATGTAATTGCTACACACAAGAAGAAAACCCTGGCTAGGAACAGGCATTGGTCTCCTGCGTTGTTTACCTCCTCAGTGAGAATTTGAATTATGTTAGCCATTTAGATTGGATCCAAATACTTCAGTACAGTTAATTAGCTGATCAGATTTAGCTAAATATTGCAGCACAGGTCCTCATTTATAAACAAGAGGTTCACCACACAGCTTAGGAAGTGAAAAGCCAAGGTGGCTTTTGTGCTCCCCTGATCCTGGGGTTGACGTGCCAAGCTGGTCCTCTAGTGTAAGTCTCCTGGAAGATACAATGACATGGGCAGATGCCATAGAAATCTGGGGTCAAAGGTTGGTGTCCATAATCAACATAGTTCCTCTTTTCTACCCTACTCGGCCCCTTCTCTCGCATAGTTTAATGGCTGCTACTATTAAAGACAAAGAGGAACATCAGCAAAGAAGTATATAGTAGTATTTATTCACTTATTAAACTGAATTGCCACTTGTGCTGCCAAAAACCTTGCAGGAGCCTGCATACCTCACTGTGAGAGTCTGATGCTTTTCAATGTAAACACCGCTTCTAGACAACTTTAAGGATAGCAGTACACCTTGACTATGTGCACCAAGGAAGAGGAACATCTGGGCTCAGTGGAGGCCTTGAAAGGATCCCCTTGGAGAAGTTTTCTCCAGAAATGTATAGAATAAAGTAGAGCTGGGCTTGATCCCAATCCCCATATTGATGTTGGACATTTCTGAAATCCAGAGCCAGATTTTGCAAATGGCATCTATCATTATAGTGCCCCAAGCCAACATCCCAGATCTCATCAACATCCAACACTGGGGTCGTTTGCCATCTAAGCAAGGGTGCTGGAACAATTTTTATAGTTAGGGTGCTGAGAGCCATTGAACTGAACTGCAAACCCTGTTTATGATGGAAACCACTTCAAGCCACTGAGTGCAGCAGCACCTATGCACCTAGAGCCAAATTTTGCAGCTTGAGCCCATCCCTAGAACACAGTCAAACTAGTCAAACCAAAGACAAGATTCTATTTTTAATTTGCCTCCTACTCAACAGAAGTTATCATTTGAAAAACAGTTTTACTGTTACTAGATGCCTCAGTGTAATACTCTGTATTTAAGATCCTAGGGCCTTAGAAAGAAGTTTGGTGAAAGGTAAACAAATAGACAGGTCATGTATAGCCCAACACATGCTTTAAAATTCCCACGGTGCACTGAAATCTCCTTCCAGGCTTTCAGTTGCAACTATTGGTTAATAAAACATAGCCCTTTGTTTTCCAGACTTCTTTGCTGGGGAGGAGTCACTCAGCCAGAATTAAGGAAGTGTATTAACAATGTGAATCAAACTGTTTCATGTTAATGAATTTGCCTGTGTACATACACATAGCATGGCCTCTTCTCAATAGAATTAGAACTGCTCAACTGTGTGTCATATGCTCTATGTTGGTAATAACGTGCCAATTGCCTCTTACCTCAGGTAGGCTTTTCAATCAGGAGAAGGTGAGCTCTGGCCCCTGTGGTGCAGTGAAGTTGAGTGGCTATGCAGTATTGACAGCTGTAAAGTTCCCAGGCAGCCACAGATTTATTATAATATTGCAGAAAAAAGCTTTCTGGGAATGGTAAGACTATTTGGCTACATAAGACATTTAATCTGTAAGGATCTAAGACCACTGCCCCAGCACTCTGAATTTCTAGATGTTATCAAGCAGTAAAATGTCATGTGTGGTGGCTTGTTCCTCATCCCGCATTACTGTCTCTCAGATGTCACAGCTGAATCATAAACTTTGAGTTGATTCAATTTCAGAGCTGAACTGGCCTCTTCGGAATTAAAAAGAAAGACCTTTGAAGCAAGAGTTAACTTGAAATCCACATTTTGCTTCCCTGTTACAATTGCACAATAAAATGCCCTTCAGTTTTTGTGTATCTTGGAGCAGAAAATAAAAATATTCAGTTCATACAACAAATATCTATCTGTAGGAAATGAAAAATAACCACTGTGCCCAGTGCACTAGCAACTTGTCAAATTTCTATTGATAAACCTTCAGTGACTTGGTGAAATAATGCTCCCCTAAAGAAATCTTCAACTTAATCTACAGCATTTGGCTGGTACGGTTTTGAAAAACAACCATTTATAATCCACAGATGAATTTAGCATTTAAGAAGATTAATGCATTCATAAATAGCCTGGAAAGCCAAAGTCATTGAATTTAATGCACCAAACGGGTCAAACAGGCATTTATGAAACCATCTGGCATGCTCACTGGGAAAAAATTTAATACAACTACAGACAGATCAGGAGTTTACCTCCACTAACATGATTTAATTTGGGAATATTTACCACTGCACCAGAAATTGCTGGCTGTTAATTGTTGTGCAGTTGTTTTTCTTTGAAAAGGTGGGGTAAATAATACCAGAACCCAATAGAGTTTATGATTAAGCCACGAGAGACCCCTGTTTTGGCTGGTACACTTTGCTGAGGAAGAGGTTCCTTCTGCTTTTAGAAACCAACTGGCCTGCAAGTTCATGAGCTGAACAGTCATTTTGCATGAGCTAAATGGCCATGATTTCTCCCATCTCCCCTCCCATGAAACTTGCAAAGGACTGGGTTTCCTCATGACCTGTTGTGGGGCATAATATTAGTCCCCTTTTTTCACTGGGGGCTGGGCAGGAATCTTTCCCTCACTGCCAGAGTGGCCAAGGCAGGGTGTTTTTTTTCACCTTTCCCACCGCAGGTCTGGGACCCAGTACAATGGGGTAGGGGGGTTGTCATAATATTGCCCTTGAATAGGTAAAACTTGTCAGGTGTCCAGTGCACATACGCGTTATGGAAGAGTACAGTCACCCGCTAAAACAGAATGAAAAAAGATCGGAAAGAAAACAAGCACCCCTTAAGGATTCTGAGGAAGGGGTTGGGGGGTTGGAGCTCCTATGTCTGGTACAGCAGAGAGCTGACCACCACCACCACCCCTTCTTTTCTCTAGCTCTCTTTAAGGGAGCTGAGGAAGGACAGAACTGGGCTCCTGTATCTGGAACAGCAGGGAACCAACCCCATTTTGCTGAGTCCTCTTTTACCTTGTACAAGGAGATGCAGCACTGAGATAGCTGGGACAGGGTGGGAGATTATTTTGAAATGATTAAGGAAAGGATGGTGACCTGCACTATACAATTTACTGCCAGATATTTTAAGTGAATAAAATTGTGGCCTAATTAAACCACATCCACTGCTGCCCCCTTTCTGTTGTGAGGGGCTCGGCAGAAACAAGGAGTGGAATTGTTTAACTCGGAATGGTGACTGGTCACATTCCTTGAGGACACAACCACTAACAACAACTGCCATGTTAAATAATGGCCAAGTAGAAGCTACTGTGGTTGGCCTGTGTTACTTACATGCCAAATCAGTCATATTTTTAAGCCCTTTTTAAAACTTTGTTTCCCCAGTTCTTCCCGGCAATAGCCAGTCACAGATTCAAGCACAGAGAAACTGCTAAAATTAGCCTTTGTGTGGTGAATTAGCCACCATCATTCAGCCATTTATTCCTCAAAGTCTCTTGTCTATTTTCCTTTCAGTTTTTTCCTCCCCAGCAAGTGGGGCGGGGGGGTTGGTTTGTGTTTGTATACCCACATACAGGCCCCAAAGAAATTACCAGGTCAGGGAAGCCTGCTCTAAACCCATATTTCTTGAGGTGCCCCACTGTTGGTCTATCACCAGCACAGCTCCACTGGTACTAGGTAGGAGGGCTAATATAGACAGGCCACTGGTGGGTTTGCCACTGTGTCATCTAAATCTGCTCTGAGGAGGGTTAGATAAGTAAAAGCATTGCTGCCCTCTCTACATGAGCGCGCTCACTCTTCCTAGCACCACTGAAGCTGTACGGATGCTAGACGGGTTTCTCAACCCTTTTTGATACCAGGAACCGGCTTGCTGCCTTCCTAAACTATGTCAGGGTGATCGCAGGGACTGGCACCGGTCATTGAGAAACACTCTGTTAGAGCAGCGGTGGGAGAATGAGAAAAATTTAGGCACAGTCAAAATGGCTTGCTCTTCCTAAATGCAATTTCCAATGTAACTGTTACGCCACAGACCTTAGCACAGGGCTACCGACCTGCTCACTTTTCCCGCCTCCTCTTGGCATTGTGCACACTGCATAGTGCAGCAGGTGTGCATGTTGAATAGAATAGATCTGATTCTCCTCCCGCCTTGGTGTAAATCAGAAGTAACTCCACTGAAGTAAATGGAATTATATCAGCATAAAATATCATGAGCAGAAGCGCAGGTTCATTGTGTCTCAGGCTCTGTGGGTGAGGCTCATATTTTAGAGCCCAATCCCTGCGCCCATGAAAATCAATGGGAGTTTTTCCAGAGACTTCCAGAGAATCAGGATTGGCCCTAAATGAATAAATGCTGCAGCGCTGTCTTCAGTAAGGAACCCTTTCAGTTCACGTCTAGCAGAGGAAAGCTGCTGTCCCAGAGACAATTGTTTGCTCAAACTCCTTATTATTGCTGCTGTCTCATAATGCTCTGTCAATGTAGGGGTTTCACAAACCCAAAAAAAGATAAAATCCCGGCCTCCGGGCGATTAGTTCCTTCCAAAGATGGGCCCAATCCAAACTCCCGGACCCAAACACCCCCTGTATTGCCGGGAAATTCGGAGCCAGATCAACATCTGAACTCTGCAGCATCAGCTCCTCTCTAATGACTACATTCTACAGAAACTCAATTCTTACACAGCAACATGCTGGAGGCAGCCCTTGGGTTATTTACCTTGCAGAACCACCACTGCTCGAGCTGTAATGAGTGCCAGGAGGTGGAAAGAGCAGGAGATAGCATATTCCCCCACCCCTGAGGAAACCTCATCACCTAGCCTGTCCAACAGGGTGGTGTTGGTTAATGCTTCAGTGATGTTTGCCACCTCCTCGGGAAGGCCCTCCTGGAGCAGGAGCTTGGAGATAAGGCTGCTGAACTTGCTCTCTGTGGTGGAGTGAGGCTCTTCAGTCGGGGTTGGGCTGTAGGACGTGATGTTTAACTCCACTGGGTCAAGACAATAACCTTCAGGTGATCTGTCAAACAGCACATCCGCCAAGTCAATACCGGCTACTGAGGAGGGGGAGACACAAGGAATATCCCTGACAAGTCTGTAATTCTCCATCCACTCTTTCAGCCATTCGAGCCTGCAGTCACACTCCCAGGGGTTCCGAAAAAGATAGAGCCTTCCCAGGAAATAGACTGGCTGGAAGACAGAAAAAGGCAGGGTAGTTAGGTTGTTACTGTTCAAATGCAAAGAGACCAGGCTCGTTAGGTTTTCAAATGCCCCTTCTTCAATGTAGTTGACCCTGTTTCGGTCCAAGTACAGAACCTCCAGTTCAACCAGGTCCCGGAACCAGGTGTTGGACACGTTCCTGAGAAAGTTCCCACCAAGATTGAGCATTTTCAGGTGCCTCAGCCCGTCAAAGGAGTTTTCTGGGAGGTCACTGAGTAAGTTGTCATTCAGGTAGAGATACTCCATTTTCTGACAATCTTGAAAGGCTCGGTCATGAATGACATTTATTCTGTTGTCTTGGAGGTTAAGATACTTCAGCCTGGTCAGGCCCTGCAGAGAGTTATAGGCTACAGCTTCTATCTTGTTTCGCTCCAAGTAAACATGGGTCAAATTCTCCATGCCTCGTATGGCTCCAGGGATCCTTCGGAAATTGTTCTGGAAGCAGAAGAGCTCCTGAAGGGCAGGGAGCTCTATGAAAATCCTGTCTGGGATGTTGAAAAGGTTGCAGTCAGCTAGGTCTAGTCTGACAAGCCTTTTGAGGGCAGTGAAAGTGCGAGTGTGCAGGTAGCGGATGTATTCATTGTGAGCCATTTTAAGCTCAGTCAACCTGGGCAGCCCTTTGAAAGCCCCGGGAGTGATGAAGGAGATGTTGTTGTGCTGGAGTGAGAGAGATTTGAGGGAAGGCAGGGTCCCAAAGGCCCTCTCTGAGACGAATTTAATACTGTTTTTATCCAGGTTGATAGAAGAGGCTTCACAGGGGAAGTCGCTGGGGATCTGCAGAAGGCCGGCACGGTCACACAGGATGGAACAGCTCCGCTCCTGCGTGCACACGCAGTTGGCAGGGCAGGAACGTACACAGGCCCACACAGCATGGATGTGGGGGATACATAGAATGACTGGTGGCGGGAACAGTACAATTGCCACACAGATAATGAGGGGGAGGAGAGAGAGAAAAACAGGAGCAGTTAGTAAATGATAGTTATGACCAAAAGACTTATTTATGCCACAGATCTAGGCAGATTGCTAACAATGACCCATTAAAATCCCGTTTCACTAAAGGAGAACCAGGAACTCTCATGGAAGAATCCTACAGGATTTACTCGAGAAGGGTTATTTTACCCTAGGCTTTTGAAACCCTTCTGTGGAATTCTAGAATGGATTTAATCTCTCTCAAATTCTGTCAGTTCCTATATAATCCAGTTGAATTTATCTCTACTAAATTCTTTTAGAAATGTTTCTACCTACTGTCACTTCTTTCTCAGTACCACCATAATTAATGTATAGGTCCTCCCACTGGGACTGAGCCTGGGATGCTCTGGGGGTTGGCAGGTCTATCAGCGGGGCGGAGGATTGGCTTGTTTATTTGGGAGCATTGCAAGCAGGTTTGCCAGCTAGCAGGAGGAGTGTTTAGTTGTCTGAGGCATTGCAATGTCTATGGGTTGCCTCTTTTTCCTGTGATAAGCCCATTCATTTTGATATTTATTCCACTAGTGGCCTGGGTAGGTGCTTTAGAATAAGGAGAACTATTAGCAGTTAAAAGTAAAGTGTAGTATTTAAAAAGCCATTCCTGCTCTCGCCATTGTCATTGGCAGGGTGGCACCTGCTGAGTGATTTTTCGGTTGCAGTTTATCAGTTCTCATATCACTGCTACTTTTTAAAAAAAATAACCAGGTGTCCTCCTCATTGCTAACAAACTCTCTCACAGCACTGCCAGCCTCACAAGTTTCACGCTGGGCCCTTGAGTAGCAAAAGGGGTTGGACTAGATGACTTCCTGAGGTCCCTTCCAACCCTGATATTCTATGATTCTAAGGGGCATTCACTGGTGAGACCACCCCTTCCTCAAAGGCAAGCTGCAAGACTAAATAGTGCCTGGCCAGATTTGCTCTCCCCGGGGACTAATGGTGCAACCACTTGTTTGTGGTGATTTTGCTATAAAAGGTTAAGCTTCAGCAGTTCTTCATCTTCTATGTGACTAGCCTCTTTGGCTTTCGTATACAAATCAAATTGTTGTTTGAAGCTTTTCTGCGTGTTCTGAGTATTTCCATCCCTTTTCAAGGTGACCTGTGCAGAAATTTTTTAAAATTGGGTTTGTGCCTTTTTTCATCCTCCTTTAGGCTGGCCTGATCCTGCAAAGCAAACTGCCTGACAGAACCCTTTAAAGTCAATGGGATTTCACGAAAGCATAGGGGTCTGCCCACATGGGTCTCTGGAGGATTGGAGCCTTATGTTGTATAAAGAAGGCCTGGACATGGGAGCAGGGTGCATCTCCCTCGCCCCCCCCTCAAAAAAAATCAGATAGTTTTTTACTTTAGAAATTACCCTGGAGGCTGTGTGGTGATTGGAGAGCTAGAAAAATGGTGACACTACAAGAATCAAGTCAATGAATGTAGAACAATTGAAAGGGGAGAGGGATTTTATTCAGATTGTTTAAAATTCTTTTTTTTTTCTTAACATGCATTTAACTGCAATAACTAATTAACATTTTAGATAAAGGAAATCCTTTCCTAATTCAGCACCCAAATCCCTTCCATTACAGCTCCTCCAGCGAAACAAGAGAAGACCTGATTTGACTTTCCTGATAATTCCAAGGTAAAAAACAAGCATAATATTGTTTAAAAAACACTTTTCAGACTCTTTTTGTAAATTATGAAGAGGGAAAAAAGCCCAAACCTAGTGAAAACTTTCCTATGCAAGTCATCATAAAGGCTGATGGAGGATTTACAAATTTCAGTCACAGTTACACAGCAGCCATTTTAAATTAATTATTTCCATACAAAGATGTGTAAACTGAGGCAGAGAAAGACTAAGTGACATGCCCAAAATCATGCAATGCGTCAGTGGCCAAGTTCAGTACAGAACCCAGCTCTCCCGACTCCCAATTTGCTCTCTAATCCCTTGACTTGCTGAAGAAAACATCTGAGTTCAGGTCAAGCCAAGTCACTTCCTAGTCTGATGAGATTCTAGTTGCAAGCAATTTTTTTGTTGTTGCTCTGCTGAATGTGGATCTACTGCTAGCAGATTTTCACAACACAAAAATCTAGGTTGTCTATTTACAAATAAATCTCTCTAGTCTGCATAAAATATTGAATCCATTATTGGGGACAATCCAGCCTTAGAAGACAATGCCCTCCAGGCAAAAAAAAAAAGGAAAAGGAAAGAAAGAAAAGCTCAGAACCCCTCAGTATCAGAAGATTTGCAGTATTTTTCCCCTTATTTTTTAAGTTAAGGTCCTGCTAAAATCCTTCATCTGAACACCCACCAAATTCTGAGGATTCAAAATCCAAACCTATTTGCCATTCTGAATTTGCACCTTGATCCCATTTCTAGTCTCTTTTGACAGCAGATCCGTATTCAAAGTACTGACACATTTATGCTGCCATTATACAAATCATTAAAAAAATGATGAATGTGTTTAGAATCTCAGCTAGAAACAGAAAAACTCTGTTTGTTCAAAACTTTTTTTCCCCCAAAAAAACACATTTGCTCCTTGGGCTACGTTTGGTATAGTTCAGGCAGCTATACTGGCTGGAACTTTTACCACCTGTCAACTCGGACAGAGAATGTGTGGTAATATTGGTTTAATTAAATATGTGTAATATAAAAGAATGAAAAAATATTGTCAGTTTCAGAATATCATCAAAATGGCTCTATGATTGAGACGGGGGGGGGGAATTATTTTTTCCCCTCAATTCAATTTAACTGCTGCATTTTTTAAAATAACTTCAATATTTGCACAAATGAATGAGAAGACCTACAAGATATCTGCACTGAGTTTTCAGCAGCACAAGCAGACAATGTTTGAAATGATACAGAGTTAGCCTAAAACATTCAAAGCGATTGGTCTAATCCTAGAAACTGATTGGCTTTCACAGAATAAAAATACTACTCACCATTTAAAATGATGACAAACATCACCTTGATTATTCACTTGTGGCATTTCAGGTCTGGCAAGTAAACTTCTGTGATCTAAAAGTAGATGGAAGGAGCCGAGACAGTTTCAGTCCATTGTCATTTACACATATCATCATCCCATTATAGTGTCTGTGTCTAGAAAGGAAGAGTGAAATCCATAGGGAGAGGTTTTTCTAAACTGACTCTTTCCCCTAAGCTTCAAACCATCGCACTGATTTCTTCCTTTTATTTATTTTTGCCACTGACCTTTTCAGTGCACGCTTCAGTTTTGTACTATTCTTCACAAGGCTTTTCAGCAAGGGTTGACCAAGTGGTGAACCACTGAAATGTGCCTAGATGGATGAAAATAAGGAAAAATCATTAGGCTGCTAGAGACTGATCACGTAATCAAATCTACAGATGCTTTTACACAGCAGCGTTATTGAACCAGCAATGAACTGCCACAATGAACCCGTAATAAAATAACTCATTTATTCATAGTTACATCACTTACCTAACAGAGCAATGGCTTCATTCTCCATCCTTCTCTGGACCCTGCCATTAGTTCTACTGGTCCATCTCTGAAGAGTTGGCATTTTTTCCCCTCCAAAGCTATCATTTAATGGCAGGAAAATCCTCTGTATCGGAGGATTAGTGGAGCTGGAAGAATGTGTCTGTCCTTTAAAACTCCAAAGCAAAACACAGATTGCTGACAAACCAATCTGCTGCATTCTCCCCACCACCACCATCCCACAAAAAATCAGCCTAGAACTGGCTCTCTGCCATCAAAACAGCATTACTAGGAATCTAAAACAAAGCCATTCCGCTGGTGCCTATTACATAACGGGGGGTGGGGAATGTAATTATATTTTGGGGCAAGCACAGGCTTATGATTTCAGCTAATCGAAATAGCGATGGGTGAACTAACCAGACCAACACAGCACCCTCAGCTTAAAAGCCTCCCAAACTCAGTGATATGCTCCAGTCCAAAGCACAGGCCCAATTCTGATTTCTCATCACTTGTTCTAAAGTACAGCTCCACTGACCTGAATGGAAGTTGCCTCTAAATTACATAGGCATGAATGAGAATCTGATTCAAGCCTTATGTATATTTTGCTCTGATAACAAAGGCTCCAATGAAACCTGGAGGAGAAGGAAAGAGGACCCAGGGGAGATGCACAGTATATATTACTCCTGGGAGAAAACAGCCCATTCCGTCTAAGAGTGTGTTCTGCTTGCCAGGCTGATGTTTGTGTGTGGAATTGCCAGGACAGGATCTGTACGTGGCAATACTGTCGCGGGCAGGACGTGAGGCAATATTTAAAACCTCTTTTGACAGAATAATGATGGTTTCTTTAGGGTGGGTTAGAATAAAATGAGAGAGGCTGGAATCACTCGCTAACAATGCCTGGGGGGCAGGGGGGAAAACCCTTTGCCTTCTTTTCCAGTGAATTAATTTCACTCTTTCAATAAATGAACTGCAACTGGAGCCAGTTAATCTGAGTTTGGTTCCTCTATATATCAGGGCAACTGGAAGATTGAAATGGTACCTGTCCCTTAACGCATGTTGCGTCAATCATACTCCAGCAACTCCTGTGTAATTTTTTTCTTTTCATTTTGATGGCCTCCTCAAGCTTAGAGGAGCCCACAGTAGCATTTTGAACATCCTGGTAGGAAATTCCTGCATCAAAGAGTTAATTAAAAATTGCTGGATATTTTAATCCACACAACACAGAGCTAGCAAACTGATCTTAGCCTAACTCGGTCTGAACTCGGGCACTGCAGGGAGCTCCCTTGCGGGGGATGCTGAAGAAGGAAATGACGTGATCATCCATCTTGTGATGAATCTGCTGAGCAGGAGGCAACCCTGAGCATCGTGGGTTGGCAGGGAGCAGACAAACACCCACATACGCTCCTGGCCAGTGAGACTAGGTGGGTGAAAACCTTTTGGGTCCAGATTTTGAAAAGAGCGCCAAGCGACATTTTCAGGTGTTCCGCATCCACAGTTGCTGTACACATTGTGGCAGGGCCTACCAGTGGTGCCAGCTCTCCCCATAGTTGGTGCTTTTCTTAAAACCTGAGATCCTGAATTCACATGAATATGGGAGAACCTCAGCTTTCATTTTAAAGAGAAGGGTCTCGCACCCATGGGTCTTGAAAACATGGCCACTAACAGCCCCAAACCAGAAGGCAAGTAAAAAGAACCCACCTTTTATTATTTTTTAAAACCTTGGGGTTGCTAAGACAATCTCATGATATTTTAGGGCCTGACTCGTGATGTCTGAACACCTGGAGTTGGCAATACTGTATATTGGGCCTAACACTTGAAGCTGAAGCAGCTATCCTGTTTGTCTCCTAGCTGGCATATGTGAGATCCATAAGGGTGCTGTGTCTCATGACACTGAGATCCCTGGAGGGTGAAGGGGTCAGTTACAATTTGATATATGACTTTCTGCGATGCAGGGTGAGTTACTGAAGCCTTTGGCCAGCTGTGTGGACAGAGGAGTGAGATGATTAAGGGGATCAAGTCCTGGTGAAACCAACCAGGATTCCACCAAAAGTGATAACCATGTTCTTCTACTCCCCAGAGATTAGGCACAGAATGAAACAGCCCAGCTGCAACTTGGTCTAAACACACAGGAATACAGCTCTGGTTGTATTCAACTCAGGTGTAGGGTGTGTGCAGAGGTTGTGGATGTGGCTTGGTTTGCAAATCGGTTGGTATGAAAATGTCAGCCTCAAAGGAGAAGAGTACATGCTGTCTTGAAGCAAACCAACCAATTTTTGACAAGACTTTCAGTGACAATCCAATTTTTTAAGGTTTTAATTAAAAACAAAATGTACAAGTATTTTCTACCCTCGGTTTTGAACATTTTCCCCCCCTTTTCTGTGGCTGGGGAGTCTCTTAAGAGCTGAGTTGGTGATGTCACAAGAGCTCCTGCTACTCAGCTGGTTTAGAGGAGTTTGAATGGCCTGGCCACTCAGAAAGGGGCAGCAAAAGAACCTCTGAAACTCCCACAGCTGCCTTGGTCTTGCACTATATGGACGGACGGCCCTAGTGAGATTTGATAAGCTGGCACAGCCACCACTACAGAAGCCCATGTAACAAATCCCCACTTGCCAAGTTTGATTTTTTTTCCCCCTGTGGGACAAAATCCCCAGGTTTACTGGGACTGGGGAGCTACTAGTCCCACAAACTCCACAGGCCTGTATGTATACTATCGTTAACATTCAGTTACATTTCTATGAATAACAAATCTCAGGGGCCTCTGAACAGAGCGTGTTGTCAGAATATTCTTGTTATCCTTTTGCTGATCCAATATAGCAGCACATACCTATGCTGCCATGACCCCTTTTAGCTTGAGCAGTTAGCCAACATTCAGGGACTTGTGGGTTGTTTCTGTTAGGAGGAGAAGGTGACGATGGAGTCAGATATTTCTTTGGTGCAATCCTGTGTATTAACAAAGAAGGTACAAAGTCTTGCTCCCCTGAATGCCGGATAAATCAAACAGCAGCAGACAGGTTCCTTGCTCACAGATCCAAGCCCCTTTTCAGCCAACACTCTACCCAAAAGCTCCCCCACTCTTGGCTCTTTCAGGATCACACTCTCAAGTGCTTCACTGTCTCCTGCTGCTTCTATCTCACACAGACAATAGCGCCATCAGACAATAGCCACCCGCCTGCATTTGCCTTCAGCCCACACTGAAACCCCTCTGCACCTATAGCTCAGAGTCCTACCCAGCCTTTCGTGTGGCCTGGGCTTTGGACCGTGGCTCTTATTGTTTCCGCTATCTTATTACTTGTTACATTGATCCTGAATGAAGGGTGGCTGTTACACCTACCAGATGCAATGAGGTTTCATCTGACCTCAAGCATAACACTGCTCCCATCCGTCCTTCTCCTGTAGACGCTGTCTCCCACTTCCTTTTAACATGGGGAATGGCCCAGTGGTTCACCAGCAATTGTTGGCTTGGAGGGCAGGGGGAAGGGAGCAAAGCCAGCATGTCCCCTGGTATCTTCAGTTGGCATCTCCTCTCCTCAACCCTCCTTACACTGAGATCCTGGCCTACCTTCCCCGCCACTTTCTCCTTTGTGTACCCACCCCTCCCGCCCCGCCATATCTCCCATCTGTCTCAATTCCTTGCACACTGCATTGTACTTCCTTCCTCTGTCTCTACACCAGGGGTCTCAAACACGTGGCCCATGGGCTGCATCCGGTCTGGGGAGTTATTTGCTGCGGCCCACCAAGCTCCCCTCACCCGCCGCCCCATCTACCCCCAGCATGCTGTGTCCCCGCACCTCTGCCTACCTCCAGGTGCTTCCCACCACCAAACAGCTGTTTGGTGGCACTTAGCACTTTCCAGGAGGGAGCGGGGAGGAGCAGAGAGACACGCACTCAGGGGAGGAGGCAGAGAAGTGGCGGGGATTTGGGGAAGGGATTGGAATAGGGGGCGGAGTTGGGGTGGGGACTTTGGGGAAGGGGTGGGAAGAGGCAGGGCAGGGGCAGGGCCTCATGGAAGGGGTGGAGTGGGGGCAGGGCTGCGGGCAGCAGGAGGGGTGTCAGTGATGCGGCCTTTGGGCCAATGTACTAGTCCTCATGTGGCCCTCATGGTCATTTGAGTTTGAGATTCCTGCTCTACACCAAGCCCTCCCTTTATGTTTGCTCTCTCCTCCAGACACTACGACAGGGGTTCTCAAACTGGGGGTCGGGACCCCTCAGGGGGCCACGAGGTTATTACATGGGGGGTCACGAACTGTCAACCTCCACCCCAAACCCTGCTTTGCCTCCAGCATTTATAATGGTATTAAATATATTAAAAAGTGTTTTTAATTTATAACGGGGGGTCACACTCAGAGACTTGCTATGTGAAAGGGGTCACCAGTTATAAAGTTTGAGAGCCACTGCGCTCCGACTTCCCTGCACCCTCCTCCTTTCGTGGCAGCGCCCACTGCTGTTGCTGGTAGGGGCCTGCGGCCTTTCTCACTTGCTGCTGTTCCCTGTGTGCTGCAGCTGCTGTGAGGTACAGGATAAACAGGGAGGGGGCAGTGAGAGCTGAGAGGAGGAGAAGGGGCAGCTTCTGTGTTCTGCAGAAAAGCCAAAAGAGCGGCTCCGGGTCCCCCAGACAAAGGTGACTCAGTGAGGCCTGTGACTCAGGGCTAAAATTCGAGTGAAATCGGGAATGCTGGTACTACACTTCTAGAGGAGGCACTCAGGTGACAGTTTGGCCCCATTTCCTTTTTCCTCTAGAAGGGATAGGGTAGACAGCCACAGGTTTCTTGCCCCTCCCTGCACTTTCCTAGAGAGGGGGTGAGTAATTCAGTCAGCTCAGGCACTGAGAGTCAGAGAGAGAAAGGCTGGCACTGGAAGCACCACTACTGGCAACAGAGGTTTATTCTTTAAATTTTAGTGTATATTCCCAATACACACCCCAGTGTCCAACCACACTACATGAGCATTTAAGCTGCATGTGCCTACTAAAATAATCAGCAGTGAAATAGTTAACAGTGCTGACCTCTAATGAGGCATTAGGCTTCAGAGTAAACACATTGTTTAGATTGGGGTGGCCAACCTGTGACTCCAGAGCCACGTGCGGCTCTTCAAAAGTTAATATGTGGCTCCGACTCCAGAGCTACAGGCGCCAACTTTCCAATGTGCGGGGGGTGCTCACTGCTCAACCCCTGGCTCTGCCGCAGGCCCTGCCCCCACTGCACCCCTTCCCACC